TTGTTTTTTACTATAGGTTGCAGTCGCCACTCTGAATGGTCATATAACAATTTTCGATGTGAAAACCGCGACACAAATAAGTTCGATAGAGGGACGCAACGACTTAGCTGGCGGTCGTTATGAAGCTGACATCATAACGGGCAAGAAAAATCTGGAGGGCAAGTATGTCCGAACATTTTTCACTATAACGCAGCAATCACTACACATTTTACCTATATTTAAGGTATTTCACTTCCATTGAGTATTCTGTTGATGGCGAATGCATTTTAGCCGGTGGCAATTCCCAATACATATGTATCTATCACGCACGTGAAGCGGTGTTACTGAAAAAATTCGAAATTACACAAAATCATAGCTTAGATGGTTTGAATGTGCGTGTCTAATTTCTAAATAGCATTAATATTTTACTAAAATTTCAATTCCAATTGCAGGAGTATATAAATCGTCGCAATCTGACAGAATTCGGTAATATGGCGCTTGTTGAGACACGCGAGGAGTTGGAGGGCGGCAATGTGGCTATTGGTTTGCCTGGCGTACAGAAAGGTGATATGGCGAGCAGAAACTTCAAGCCAAAAATCAAAGTATACGCTGTGCGCTTCATGCCAACMGGTCAAGCATATGCAGTGGCCACCACAGAAGGATTGTGCTTATACTCGTTGGATAAAGGTATGTTAAAGTGAATTTTAAAACATTTTGGGTTGCCATTMATAATGTTATTTTATTTATTATTTTATAGGTGTTGTCTTCGATCCATTCCACCTATCGTTGGAGGTGACACCAAAAGCCATACATGAGTCCGTCGACAAACAAGACTTTTCGCAAGCGCTTTTAATGTCACTGAAACTAAATGAACCACATCTCATTTACATGGTTTTAGAGAAAATACCACGTAACGATAGTAAGTTTAAACATTTTGCACTTTAAATTATATTTTCATATGATTTTAYTTCCTTTAATTTGCAGTAAAACTGATTTGTTCAACGTTGCCGGAGACGTTCGCACCTGCTTTGCTGCAAATATTAGCGCGTGGTTTACAGACTAGCAGACATTTAGAATTTTACTTGGAATGGTGTACCGGCCTATTGACTACGCACGGCAATAAGAGCGACTTGTTGCAGCATCATGCGCTACTTTCGCTACAGGAGAGCTTATCACAGAAATATGAGTCACTAAATCGCATGTAAATTGAGATTTTTGAATGTTTGACTTTCAATATGAGCTATTTATATAAATAATATTATTTATAAATATTAACTAATATTATTTATAAATATTCACAATTTCAGTTGCGATTTCAACAAATACACCATGCGTGTTTTACTGAATGCTGCCAAAGAGCGCCGAAAACAAGGCGCATATTCGACGCAAAAGAAATCAAACGGTGTTAACGTAGACGATTACGAGAATGCGGATGATGATGATATGTTTTTAATTAGAGCGAAAAGCGACGATGAAGTAGCGGAATTCGAAGAAGAGGACGAAAGTGATAGTGAAAGCAGTGCAGAATGAGAAATTAGAAACATAGTGTAGTTTTCTAAAATATGACCATATTTTTTTTGTTATGAAACGATTTAAATTTTGTAAAAATGAAATACAAAYTAATTGTATTAGAAATATTGACTTGTAATGAACTGTGTTTTAATGCATATCGAATGTGAATGTTTTGAGGGTATTTTATTGGTGGTTAAGTGTTATACATATGCGCTTGAAGAACGTATAATTGGTTTAAATTTAGCTATATTTAACTTCAAAATACTACCAGTTGTTTTTACACTTATAAGTAATCATTTTCCACCCAATAGAAGCGAGCTCCGACAGTACAGGAAATACAGTAATACATGTTTTTTGAATATTAGATTGCAATTTAACTTACCTTAAGAATGCTTAGGCCGGGCTGCACATTTTTTCTTTTGCCCAAAAGCGTATTTTTACRGATTAACAATTCATTTGCACACACGCATAGACCTGTTTGGGCAGACGAACAGAGCACACAATTTCAAATCCGAAAATCGGCACTTTAAAAGACTAAGAACACTTCACTTTTAACTACGACATAAGAAGACACCAAGCACTACGAATTTATGCACAACTTGTGAAATTTAGTGATAAATTAATGCAAAATATAAATGTTAACAACGAGAAAGCAAATTCAGTCAAAAAAGCGAAATCGGAAACTGGAAGGCAACTGTTAAGATGGCGGATGTACGCGAAAGTTTAGCAACTGCATACCAACAACTAAGCGAATTTCGGTGTTGCCAGTATAAAATAATGAACATAAACGATTTGTATAATTGTGTGAAATAAGTTGATAAAAAWATATATATTTTTGTAATTAAATAATATTATATAAATTCGTTAAAAAATTTTGTTCTTGTTATATTAGTTATAAAAAATAATTTAAGCAAAAATTAGTATCTTTTTTATGCATTCGTTAGGTTTGTGTAAACTTATTCTCAAATTTCGAAATACTATTTATGTATTCTGAAAAGAGTTATGTATAAAAAATGTATTATTAAGAAATAAATATAGTTATTTTTTATTTTTGTTTTTAAGTAAAAAAAAATTGTATTTTTTTAATTTTATTAACGTCGATTGCATTTTGCCAGCGTCAACTTGTGTAAACACTACATAAAGATCCCTACACAGGAAAGTACCACTAATGCATTCCTGTTCATTTCCAGTTCCAAACCGCCTTTCAAACGTGAAAAAGCGTAAAATTGTGCTGATAATTAGAAAATTGTGAAAAAATTTAAAATTTTAAGAAAATTTATTTGGAAACAGCGTAATTATGTGTTAAATGMGAACTGGTTAAAGTTTCCTATAGAAAAGTGTGTTTCAATAGTATCGAATAGTTTTTTTTTTAAGTGTAAACCAAAAAGTGAAGTGAGCTGGTGCAAGTTGGAGCGCTATGACGAAGGGCAATGAAGCTTCATTTATATAATATCAACGTTTGGATGCGGAAAATTCGTTTAGGAACTGCAATCCAAGTGTGCTTAGTCTATAAATAGTATTTTTGATTTTTAACAAAAGTGGAATGTCTTAAATACAAATTACTTGTATATACTTTTTTTTACTTAAACATCCATATTTACAGGCTTTTATATATGTATATACAATATACCATATACCTACACATTGTCGTAGAGAGAAAACCGTATCCCGGAAGGATATAGAATGCGGCCCCCTTAATTAATCAATTGTTGTAGAAAAATTTTGCATATTACACCCTTAACGCACATCGTTCTCTAATCAAGGTAAAATAATTATAAATTGCTCCATATTGTAAATTTTATAGTTTTTAATTTATTTATAATTAATAATTTGTATACAGTTCGGCACAGCCGAAATATGTGTTTTACTAAAAAAATTAAAATCGTTACATATGTTAAAATAATTGCATTTAATATGTATGCAAATGTGTGTAAATACCAACAATTGTGATTAAGCTTGTAAATACATACAAATTTATATATATTTTTTTTAGATTTATTTAAAGCTCAGTGTTTATCTTTTGAGCGCACTTATTTCAATAAATAGCCTGCATGGTGAACCTTAAGTTGCACTTAGGAGCATACGAATATACATAAACTAACTACATATGTATGAATCTATATAAAAAAAGTTGTAGTAGCAAAATTTTGTGTGTGCGTTTGTAATTGTTGCATAATTTGTTGTAACCATGATTGTTTTATATATTGTGGGAACTTTTTTTTATTATCCTTACTGAAAGCACCTGATATATTTATGAGTATTAACACAAATATTATCTAAAATATGTATGCTTGTATATGTATGTGGTGAAGCATGCGCGCGTGCCTCATAAATTTTATAATGAAATTTTTGGATTTGTTTTATTTTTTAAAAAACTCGATATGTCTGTGAAATTAAAATGTCGCTGTCGGTCATATACATGTACATATGTGTATTAAACTATTCAAACAGCTGCTTTTGTAAAAAGTTTTTTTTTCTTTTTTGAAATTTACCTAAAAAAATTGTGAAATTCGCTTAATAAATTTGAATTTGCAAAAAAAAATCATACTAAATGTTTGGTATCAGTAATAGACCAAATGTGATCGCCTACCAAAAAAAATATACTTTTACTCATATAAAATATTTTTTGAAAACAAATACTAAGTTTGAAAATCGATATCTTCTCCGACAATATATACAATATGTTTGTTAAAATATATATAAATTTTTTAAAATTAATATATATTTTATTATTTTAACATTTTCGCAAATATTAGAACGACCCTAACTTGGAGTGTATATTTACTTAAAAGCTAATTTTTTCATATTTTTCTTATATTCCTGCGTACTTACTGCTGAACCTAATGCTGACGACTGAAAATACATATATGTACGTACATATTAAAAAGCGCTGTTTCTAAACGTTTTCCACATATTTTCTTAACTTTAATACATTTTGTTACTTCAGCATACATACATATATGTAAAAAAGAGTAAATCGCGTCTACATTATGCAACATATTTATTTATTTTTATTTCGTATATAATTTTACTCAAAATGCAGCGCTAAAAGCAGCCACATTTTCAATTCAAATATTAACGGTACTGCTTTAAAAAGAGTTTTCAATAAAAATATATTCTTTTTTTAATTTAAAATATATTTGTTAATTCAGCTAAAAACTCATTACTTACTTCGTAGCATATTATACACTAACTACAATTTTGCATTTGCGAGCATGTGTTTGTTGTTTCATAATCTCGTACTAAATACAAATACATACAAATCTTTGCACGTATGTATGTAAGTAAATATTTTGCTTTATTTATGTGCGCCGACGCAATACATACAAGTGTATATATGTATGTGGGCATAATTATTTCAGCGGAGCCCAGAATTCGGTATTCTGGAACTCCGTAAATCCTAGGACGACTTCATAAGCAATATGGGCCAATAGAGTAGTACGAAGACGAAAAATAATATGGGAAATACGGCGCGTGATACTTTATCGATTTCGCGCCACATTATCTTCTCCACACCAGTGTCAGTGTCGGTCCAGGCCACCGACAGTAGACTTTGTCGACGCGCCGGCTTCGGTGGCCCGCCATTGCCCTGCAATGAAGTCTGTAAATTGCGTGAAATTTAGTTGCATATTTCGAAAATAATTTTAGTTTTATTTTTTTGGTTCTATACCTGTCCTGGYGTTGTTGGTGTTTGTGTGGATTTGCGTGAGCGCACTGCGCCCCCTTCCCAGCTGGCCACCGTTGCACATTGACCCTTCTCCATGTTGCTTATGCGCTGGAAAAGTTGAGAAAAGCCGTTATATATACAGAATTTTCGGCTATAGTCAGCTGACATAAGTTTTCTGACCAAAACTTTCCGAAACCGGCAGTTTTATTGGTCCCGGTYCKCAAAACACGGAATGAAGAGCAATTRTTAWAAATATYCCTCAGAGGAAATTTTATAAAGTTTTCCGGGATTTTTATTTCAAAAATTCASTACTTAAATAAGCGCATGTAAGCGCAATTATTTAATGTAAAAATATCCTTATGAGAAAATTTCATAAAGTTTACCGGATTGTTTTTTTCAAAGAAGAAATTAGAAGTAACACAATATTTTAATGTCAAAAAAGAAAGATCTTAAAAATATCCCTCAGAGGAAATTTTATAAAGTTCCCGGATTTTTTTTCTAGGAGGAATTTGGGAAGTAACTTAATATTTTGAAGTTAAAATAAGTAAGTGCTTAAAAATAGCCCTCAGAGGAAATTTCATAAAGTTTTCCCGATTATTTTTTTCAGAGATGAATTTTGGAAGTTTTACATTTTGAKGTCAARARTATAAGGTCTTAAAAATATCCCTCSTAGGAAATTYCATAAAGTTTTYCGAAATATTTTTCTCAAAGAGGGTTTTTAGAACTAACTTAATATAAAAAAGTCTGGTCTTCAATACCCGGAATGAAGTTTWCTGGAATTTTTATTTCATAGAGAAAATTGAGCAGTAAATTCTGGGATCAAAAAAGTTCCAAAGTATCAAAGCAAATGGGTGTTATGAATTAATTTCGAATATGATTTCGTCAAATCCATTTTTCTCCCAAGGAACCCTTTATAATACGAGTTCTTCAAAACAATATTACTTACCATCGGCAGAACTTTCGGTATTTTATTTACTTGATACTGATATTGTACATCYAAGACCTTCACAACAACAAATTCCGCTAACGCTGCAAATACAGACACCATACAACCGGCCATCCAAAGATCCAAAGCCTAAAAATAACAAAGTCAAGCAGTTGAAAGAAAAAAATTTAATTTCCAAAAAAACCCCACCTTCACATAGGCAACTGGTGGTATATCCGCTCTAAGACCAGTGAACATGGTGACTAAAGTTAACATGCATGTGACCAACAACGTCACACGACCCGGTATGGCATCGAGTCCCAACCAAAAACTAAACCAGGACAACATTACAACGAGCGATGATGGCGCGAACGTCTGTATAAGATGATGTCCGATTTGCCGCTCAAATCGGAAATACACTGTGAGACGTGAAAAATTGCCAACCTTCTCGGGCATATAGCCGTCACTCTCTTCCAGCTCGAGCGGTTGGCCAAGGTTGTATTGCAGCAATTTGAGCTCGGGATTCAAAGTGACGCCAGAGTCGGACCAACGTAATTTCACTTTTTGATTATTCGATGAGACTGTGTGTATGTAGAAAAGAGTAGAAGAAGGATAGAGGTAGCGAGAGAAAGAGAGAGAGTAAAAGTACGCAGGGAAAAATAGAGGCCATGCAAGGAGAAAAGAGGCAGACAATGTAAAGAGAAATTATTATTTAGCTACTCCATAAGCAATACTTAGTGCCACTTACAGCTTTCTATATATATGGGGCACACCTGTATGTCCATCGGATAGAGTTGAAATTCCATTTGACAGGCGATGATCGCATGCATTCGCGCCGCATAACGTACGGTTTTATTTTTGTATAAAGTCACTGAGGTGAATTTGTGCGTTAGTGTTGCTATCTCTGCAAAGAGAGCGTAGAAGAGAAGAGAGAAAACGAAATCGTGTTGCAAATATATATTCTTGATTTTTTTAATACAGTGATATACATTTGAACGGAAGTATTTTAAAACAAAAATTCGTGGGAATTGTGGGCAGGAGGTGGATGGGATGCATGACATGATTAGGCGTGCGGCTAAGACGTGGACAATTGGAAGGCAAAGGAAAACACAGCTCACAACAAATTTCTAACTTAATTAATACTCTACGTTTTTAAGACCTCAGTCAACACTTGCAGTGGCTGGGAATGTAGTRAGCGTTGATTTGTTAAGCCAAACTGGAGCTTTAAGCTTATTGTTTTTTTTTCTCGAAATATTCTGAGAAAAGAATATGTGCAGTTCTCTTTTTATTTTGGTAAAAATATGTAATTTATAGTAAAAACTMTACTTGCTAAGACAAAGCCGTGATTTAAGCGAAGAAATAATAATAAATATTGCTGATTCTGGATTAAAAGGTCTTTGAAACTGGATTTTCAGTACAGARAAAAGTGATCCTAAACCCATTCATACAACGCTAGATTTTTGAGCTTTTGAGTGCTTAAACTGATATACTGAGCATCCGATTTCTTATATCTATATACTTTCGCTTATCTTTGTACTCAAAGCTCAGTATCACACTCATATTAGTAGAATCCCTTCTTCCGACATTATACTGTATCTTCCGTTTTCATATATATTTTTACTGAGTTAGGAATCCCGTGTCTTTGAATAGWTTTACTGACAATACCTACCACCATGCTTAACATGCCCATATTTCTATCAACACAGACTTAACCACTTTAACTTGAAGTTAAAGAAGTTACTTTTTTGGAACTAACTTAAGTTTAAGTATTTGGGCTTGATATCTACGGACTTAGACGAAGAGTTTAACTGAAACTGCCGTATGCTGAGACAATTCAGAATTGGTTGTTGTAGTGATCGCATTCCGATTATAGAGACCGATTACAGTATTTCTAATAGAGCTTCTACTGTTATTTAACATAGTCCACGTTGGAGTTTTTCTTTAACGATAATTTTGTATATAATATATTTTTAGGACCAAGTAGGACCAGACAGAATAATCACCAGGTCGTAATATGTGAGACCTAGCAGAACTTAGGTTAGGTTAAACGGTCCAAGCGTCAACAGGAATCACACTTGGACAGTTTCGAACGCCAGTCCGTTAGGATACCTAATATTTCCAGATATTAATTATACGATTTTAAGCCTACTACAAATTTGGTGATGTAACTAATATCAGTTCCGACTATCTCTACTGCTTCGTCGAGAGTATTACTGCCGAGATGTTTCAACCTCAATCCTGCAAAAGCAGGACAATGGAAGAAAAAATGACTGGAACGTTCTACCTCACCTTTCTCTATACAACTTTRACAATTGTCGTCGGAGTGGATTTTTAGCCTTAAAGCAAAAATGCCTATTGGACAATATCCAGAAWGAGCTCCAACGATTTTCAAGATAAGATCAAGATAATTTTACTAARGCTAAGTAGTTCGGTAGATTTCGCAGGTTCTACTATAGGTCAGAACAGTCTCGAAGTCGCAAACGAGCTGGTCATCGACTAAAGAATTCTAAGCGCATGCCATTTTCATAAGTCCAGTGCTAGACCGCAAGAAGATTCGACACTCTCCCACTTCGACGAGWCGTTTCCTGGCTCTTCGGCTTATGTTTCAATTTCATACAATTTAAAAAAAAGCTTCAGATAAATTTTGTAGCTTACTAGATGAAACTTACTGGATAATATCCAGTAATAAGTCCACCGATTGCGGTAACATGGTCCTTTGCAAACAGCAACTAGTTCAGTAGATCTATTTCGTCTCACTTCTTATGCTAGGTGAGAATTATTTCGAGATCGAGCCAGAGCTTATTATAGACCAATGCACGCTAAGCTCACGGGAGGTGTGCATGGTAGTGCTAGAACGTAAGAAGATGAAGTTGCTGATTTTTCCTCATCGGCTTTAAAGTTTCCAGCGATTCGGATATGGCCACAATGGAAACACAAACGAGTCTAATAATGACTTGATTGATTAAATGAGCTTCCAACCAGTATGGCCACACTGCTGTTGGGGTAAATGCTCACCTATCTAACAGAGGCCGGACTTCGGAGCACTACGTCGTCAGCTATCTTAATGGCAGCAACTCGAAAATCACTACAGTGATCGGTTAGCCCAAAACTAAGTTTGACGGAGAGCTTTTTACTGAACACTCGCCCTCGAAACTTTTTTTCGAACTTCGACCTAATCGTAAAAAAGCTCACTAGACTTTTTTCAACGGCGACTCTCCCTCCTCCACATATCCTGGGGGAGATATGTGAGTCCAAGTTTTCAGGGATGCAGCTGAAGCAATAAAAGAACCTAGCTTAGGAATGGTAGACATTTTTCTTACAGCATTTTCAGTGGTTCGTTCTCAGTATGGCAAATGTGATTTACGAGCAGAAGATCTTAGTGATTCTTGGTTTGCGAAACTTTCGAAGACCAAATTCAAGGAGCAGGATGAAGATTGCGTAATAAAAATACATGCAACATTGCCATATCAATGAAAATAAATTTTGTACTGAAAATAATTTTTTTTTATATTTTGTTAGGGTGGTCCTTGAAATTAGCAAAAAAAAAAATTTTTCCTATCTACACAGAATGCTAATCAAAAATATGTTGAAAATAATTATTATACGCAAGCGCAAGCATACGAGACTACAAACTAAATATTAAAAGTGCACAACAACAACAGCAAAATTTTGAGCTTTCAAATAAATAACTAAAAAAGGCAATTGACAAAAAATTAACTAACACTTCCTTTAAGGCGCTCATTAGACCACTTTAGGTAACTATCATACACTAAAAGTACTAAAATGAATAAATAATAAAATTTGCGTYCACCCTAATGATAACGCTGAGCTCTCTCATCACGCTTTGCAGCCCGGACAGTACATTTGTGTGGCTAACTATGCGGTTATGTATGTAGATATGTATTTGAATGTTGATATGTGTGTAGGTGGGTGTGTGCTTGCAGTTTAAATCACACAAAACAAAACAAAAACAAAAAACACATCATTTGGGAATTTAATTTTTTATTTGTATACTTAATGTTTTATTGATATGAAAGTTTTTCGTCTCTCTTTGATCCTTGTCGCGCAGTAGAGAGCCAGAAGTTATATAAGGGCTGCCGAATCCTAGCGTACGAAGCACGTGGTTAATACAAAATCGATAAAATACGAGTAATAAAGATGACGAAAAATTCAATTAATAACTGAGAAGAAAAAATTTACACAATTAATCATAAATAAAGGGTTTTCCAATAAGCGCGGTAGGGAGAGACGCACATGTCTGTATTGGTGTTTTCTAAAAACACAAATGTTTTTTTTTTTTTTTTGGTTTTCTATTTTCAACAAAAACACTGCAAACATTGCCACGTCTACTGCGCATACTCGAAAACCATTCAGAAGCGGCGATTTTTTTTTTTTTTTTTTTTTTTTTTTTTTTTTTTTTTTTTTTTTTTTTTTTTGCCAGGGCTGATTTGTTCGCTTGTCAAGGCGAGAATGACGTGAAAACGCTGATGATTATGCAAATACCAATAAAAACAAACAGAACAGCACAAACCAAATGTTATGAACTTGAAGTGAACTTAACCTGAAAACGCGCACCCACCCACGTGAGACTGGCTAACACAGCTACAAATAGCACTAGTTTGACAAACTGACAAAGAAGCGATGTAAAAGAGTAACAAAAACAAAAATTATAAAACACGTGCGCACATATCACTCAAATAAATGCACTATGCGCACACAGAAGTACATGAGATCAAAATTAAGYATGCACATTAGGGTGGTCCGAAACAAATAAAAGAAGTAAGTAAAGAAAAACACAGCAAAAACGTTAACTTCGGTTGCACTTAGGCTACTAGATATAAAAAGCAACACAAATAAAAAGTTTTTCATACAAGAATTGGACTTTGATCGAGCAGTTTATATAACAGCTATATGTTATAGTAGTCGGAYCTGAACGATATCTTCAAAGATTACAGCGTTGGCTTGGCTGGTTAGCATCAGCTTGCAATCTATAGAAACAGTAAAGTATTTAGGGTTCGTCCTAGATAGGATGCTCTCATAGCAGTCTAATATCAAGGTGAGACCAAAGAAGTCATCGATTGACTTGTATTTGGCATCACCAGCTCATTATATTCCATGAGTACTTTGTGTTTCGGAGTGCCCTAGAAAAGACCACACTCGCAAGGAAGCTCGAGAGCGTCCAAGGTCCAACGGCGCTCAACAGCATGTATGTATCACTGCAATCATGGCACTTAATACCATTTCTTGCATAGTTCCCATAGATATCACCWGTGTTTGGCCGCGAAAGTTGCTATCAGACTTAAAGAATCTGCGATGAGCTTACCAAAAAAAAAGGTACCCAAGCTCCGCACTTAGTTGAATAAAAATAAGTCCGTGCTCTCCTCTTTTCATGTGATTTATTACTGATCAGCTGCGTTTCGCGGGAATTTRGCCAGGGCTGGGYTACAATAGRTTAAAACGCTGTCGCAAGATCCTTTTGGCTMAAGATTGAGCGCAAGTTATCCAGAGAGCTACTTTCTCTTAGTAAGGCTAGCATTTCGCAAAGTTTCAGGTGTTCTTACAGACCTATCGGAGTTCGTGCTCTAAGGTTGAGAATCTAAGCGGACCCCAGCTGCAGAAGCTGTATAGAACAAAACGAGGTGGAAACATCTCAGCACTTTCTTCCGTTTAACAAGCACTTAAGTAAACAACTACGTGTGTAAAATTTCATGTATATACAGATAGATAGACGGATATGCCTAAATCGAATTCGAGTCCTAAAAATTTTATGTAGTTACTATGTATTTTTTAGAAGCATTGTAAAAATCTTCGGGCGCCAGCAGGGGGTGCTGGATTCAAAAAGTCTTGTTTACTTTGGAAGTCCAACTAATCTTATGAAAATACCAATAAAATATGCTTACTAAAATAACTCATCCGAACTCAACACATAAAGAAGTATATAAATTTTATATCTATACCTAGGTGTCTAGGAAGTACGTATGATTCCGTTCGGGAATCTGTCGCAGAAGTCACAAAAAGTTTAGTCCAAATTTTTTGTTTAAAACCCACTTCCAAAACATAAAACAGTGCTTTAAAAAGCTCTCTGACAATCGAGGCTCCACGCCATACTAAGGTAACTTTTAAGAGTTCTAATGACATTATCAAGCGACGCTGCTGAAGTTCTAGCTATGATGCCGCCCAATGACATCCAGGGAGACGCATCCGCGTGATTGGACCAGCTATCAGAGCCGTGTAGGCGTAAAAAACGAAGAGAGAACCAAAATGTATCACAAGGTTAGCAACCCTCAACCAAAGAACGGTGAATCCGCAGATTAATCCCGGACATTCATTCATGTATAGACAATCAGGGAACGTATGTAGCCYTTCACCTAACCTAAATACTGAGTGGACATGGATGCTTTTAAAGTTATCTGTTCCGATTCCATCACGATCTTAGTCCGTTCTGTCCGACGTGTACAAAGTGCATAGAAGACTCTGAGCACCTTGGTTTAAAATGGAAAGAAAATGTTAAAAACTTCACTTGGCTTCACTTTTTGGTGAAAAATTTGACAGCACTTATCTCTCTGATAAATGAAAAGCTATCAGCAAAGTGGCAGCCATAATCTAGACAAAACTGAGGTATATAGAGCAGAGTAGACGTCCGTGAACCCGTGCAATAAAGGAGACTTAAGTAAATGAAGTAATACTTTATCTGATGGTTCCATGGGAGAAATATGAGTTCGGAATAGCTTAGGTTTACGGTTGCGGATTGAGGTTCTGCACTCCAGCTTTCGATGATTCCTCCTACTAAAAAAAAAAAAATAGATCATACGCGTAGCCTGATGAAGATTTCTGATATTTCTCCTGTGTTCGAAGTCGTTTCTATGCTAATCATTTAGTCTATTCTATTGTCCACAGACTTTTGCAAACATTTTTCAAGTTAGAATAAATTAAATTTTTAAGTTCTCTAAATAGAACTAGAAGATTATCCCTGGAGTATATTATATATTTGACAAATACTACTTATTTTCATACTTCATAGGATATGTATACACAAATATTTCATAGACAAGTATAAGTTCATGAAATGAACTAAAAAAATGATTTTCTAAATTTTTATTCTTCTAAAAAATGAACCACCCTAATGTATGGTAAAATAGCAGATATGCATATGTAAACAGAGAAATAAGCTATGTAAAAGAAATAATGTTTATTTGAATATGTGTTAGCAATGAAACTCTTAGCAATAGATCAAATCTACATACAGAAAACAGTGTGTCACAAAACAACGTACACACACACACGCGCAAACATGAACATCACTACAAACAATGCAAATTAAATGGCATGCAAGGCTCGCACTTACCGGCAATTTTCGAATTCAAAAAATATGGATCCGGTTGCCAGAGATTATCGAAGAATTCTGGAAGTAGTGTCACATAATCATCGCCCTCCTCGAATATGTCATCGGAGACCTCGAGTCTTGATTCGTTCCAACGCTGATGTATAAACATATCTACCCTACAAATGTTAAGCAATATATGGTTATYGTTATTGTTGTAGTAAAAGTGGTTACTTTAGTACTTTTTAGTGTCTACTTACCTAAAGTCCATATCCTCTACATTGATTGAGTTAATATCTACAACAAATATGCTAAAGTCTACTATCACTGGAGAGCCTTTCTTGGAAGGTGGTCTCATTTCTGTTGAATGCAAATATTCGAAAATATAAAAGAAGGTTGGTTAAAAACGGTATATGTTTTCAAGTGCTCACTCACCCTTGACATAATTAGGTGGAAGGACTACGCGAGGTTTTGCCGTGTAGTTCATTAAGGCATCCGTTGAATCAGTCAGCCTGTGGAAATATATATATTTATATACTATACTATAATGGATTTATAAGGTTGCAAAAGATTTTTTTAAAATAAAACAGTGAGAAGTATTAAATATATCACCAGAACATATATTACTGTCGCTTTTAAGCGATCTATTGAAGAATAAGCTATCGTCTACCAGTATCATCAGGGTATCAGTTAGTATAGTTCAGGGACTGGGAATAAGTCCGATATCTTAATACGGTCTAATGTCGGACGACTTGACTCTCTGTTGATTTGACGTAGAAGTGTTTCTGTAAGATCCTTTCTTTCAGAAAGGAATTGTTAGCGAAAAAGATCTAGGAGATTTAAAAATAATTGGATTGACGGTCTATGGGTTCTTAAGACATAATCGCTTCTTAAACGCAGAGCAATTCTAGTAAAATATTGAGAAAGCACCAAAAGTTTTATAGTCCTTTAGGGATCGTTTGTGTACGATGGATCAAAGTTTCCACTTCGAACTCAGTTTGAATCTTTAGAGAACGAATAAAACCTACATGTTTTATTTCAACCGGTATGTGTTATTCAGACTACAAATGAACATTATATAAATACGAAACGASGCGAATTTGGAAGCTTCAGTATGCATTCTGAGGAATTAGCTATCGTGTCTCCGTATAGACCGACTGAGAATAGGTGAAAATTTCGCTATCTTCTTACGGTCTACTGCTGGCTGGCTGTGTCTTTCATTAACTTGGCGAGAAGAGTTTCTGTAAGCTCCTTTCTTTCAACAAGGTATTCTAAGGGAACAAGAACTTAAAAGATTTGAAAATAAATTGAGTACCGCTGCAGTTAGTTTAGGATTTGTTAACTTGAAAGCAGTTGTACTAATTTTGAAGCAATAGTTTAAGGTCATTACATGCTTGCACCCCATCTAAAGGTCTGCTCAAACTTATCAAAGTTTCACCACATTGCTGTTTACAAATTAAGGACTTCGGAGCTCCCCTCACGTTTGGAATGGCTTCTCTGTTAATTAAAACACTTTTTGTAAACCCGAAATACAACCTGAGGAACTAGGGTACGAAGCTCGTACTATCTTGATAGATAACCATATCGATATTATACAAATAAAAGTGCTACTTTGCTATTAGTAGGAAGTTGATATATAAATCATTATTTTGTATTATACTTCCCAAAAAGATGGACGATAACGAACCGAAATGAAAAGAGAATTGCTCTTCGAACGGTCTTTGGAACTGTCCCCATGAACGATGAGTACCGTAGAAGATAAAGCTTCAAACTGTATGAGCTCTTTGGCGACTACGATATAATTAAGCGCATAAATCTCCATAGGTCATGTCGTATGCACGGAAAACGATGCTGCACCGAAAAATTTCTTCGATTCGAGACCGATGGATAGACACTACTGTTCTCCGCTAGATCTTTGCGCCGTCCGCCTGAATGCTAAAACCGAAAAATATCGAACCACGAACTGTATGAGCTTTACGGTGACTTGGTTAAGCGCGTAAAACTCCTACAAATGCACTGGTTAGACTATGCCGCATGGAAGACGAAGCTCCAACGAAAAGCTCCTACGTTTCGTGACCCCAGGGTGGATAACGGAGTAAGGGCGCGCAAGCTTCCAATGGAAGGACCAACCGCATAGGGACCTCTCTGCACTGCAGTTGTACAACTAGCGTCATTACACAAAGGATAGAGTAAGCTGGTTAAGTTTCGTATTCTTGACGTACACTGACCCCTGCTTAAGGTGCTAAAAAAGAAGACGAAGAACGTCCAGAGCTCTAAAACAATCAGCATTCATATTGAAAGCGTTTTGTTTATCAAATAGTCAGCGACCGACTTTTTCTGACGCATTTTATAGTTAAGACTGAGCAGTTTATTAGGTGATGGTTCCAAGATTCAATACGAGATTTTACGAGAGATCATGCATAAAAGCCTACTTCAGTTGCTAAGACCTCAGAGATAAACACATTTTCCCTTCCTGAACATATCAGACACAACAATCAGCAGTAGATTAGTGCATCTCTTTCGGTAGAACCAGCTGCACTATCATTTAGCTCATAAAGTAAATATAAGCGCTATCGGTCTCAATTAAACTCGCATTAGCTTAACGTCCARCTTTCATCATAATATTTACAAACGCTCATATTTTTCGCCACCACTGTTACACTGCCACTTTATGCAATGTGTTGTCAACTATATGAATGGAATATGTAAACAAAATATAATGCATGAGCTCACTTACCAAATCCATATCAATCCCAGACTGCATGGCAATAGTAGATTTATGTATTTATCCAGCATTATGATAATCACAGTGGATAATAAAAAAAATGTTTCAACTCATCTCACTTGGTATCGCTGTGAGATTGTCATAGTTTGCTGGTGTATGCACTGCAAGGCAAATTAACGGTAAATGAAAGCAATTATTCTATTATTTAAGCAGCGCTCGACAACTAGGCGCTAATGAGCGTTAAATTAGTCCATTCAAAGGAGAAATTTCGTTTTTTTGTTTTTTTTTTTTTTGCCAGTTTTATTATTTCTAAATTAATATTACTTAAATATAAATAATGGAAATCAATCTTTTTAACGGTTTTATATTTTTAATAGTTTTATTTTTTTTATTTTTATTATGTCTTGGAGATTGCG